TGACGTTTGTGCCAGTGTGTGTGTTTGTGTGCGGGTGAGTGTTTTAGGAGCAGCATTTGATTTCAGTGGACCTGCCTCCCAAACAAGCCCTCCCTATCTTGGTGGACAAGCCATCTGTTTGCACAGTGCATGGTGTTCTGTTCTTAGAGAGGAGGAGGAGGAGGAGGAGGAGGAGGAGGGGAGGAGGAGGAGGAGGAGGAGGAGGAGGAGGAGGAGGAGGAGGAGGAGGAGGAGGAGGAGGAGGGGAGGAGGGAGGAGGAGGAGGAGGAGGAGTGTAGGGGATGAGGGATATGGGTGGGGGCTAGTTCTGAAATGAAGTTTTGCCTTCACCTGCCACTGTGGTCAGGTCACTGAACATTTCTATTTGCCACTCATTATTTGTCTGCCACTTCTAAAATCGATGTAGAACGCTTAATTGACAATGCTAAAATGTCTTTTAAAATGCCATAAATTAAATCATAGCATTGTATTCCATTCAAGTCATAATAAAGAATGTCTTAAAAAAGTTGTAGGTATAGTAAGGTATGTAATATAAAGTCCTCGTTGTGCATTCCATAAAAAAGTCATATATAAAGTCATAGTTTAGTATGATCATAACCAATCATTGACAAATCAAAGTATAGTAGTTTATGTGAAAATGTACAGACAATTTCCTAGTATATAAATCATTAACAATACCATAGTATAGTTTATCGTAAAACAATTATAAAAAAAGGAAGGATAGAGTTCAGATGGGGTGTACATGAGAAAAGGGAGAGGTCTTTAGGGCGCCTTGCTGTATCAGGCAGATATTATTATTAATACAGTAGATCAAACTTACTGCTCGTTCTGTGTCTCCTAGGAAGCCATCCAGGATCTGTCAGCTCTTTGCAAGATTGTGTTTGCTTGCTAATCTCTAACAATGTATCCGTGTCTTTAAATCACTCTGATCCATGTATGTGTTTCTCTTCTTTTCTTTACTGCTTTCATGTCTTTGTTATTGTGTTTCTCACAGACTAAAGATTGTCTTCGCAGACTGTCTCACCTGCCTGCCTCCTGCATGCCCAGACAACAATCCATACAGAACTTATTAATGTGTGTGTGTGTGTGTGACATAACAAGATCTTTTGTGCTTACAGGAGGGTGTTAAAGACAAAGAAGACATGAAACAGTTCAGCACAGGTATAGTTTAGGCTTTACATTGAAAGCATATCACACATTGAGATAACTTAAAGAGAGAGTCTTGCCCCCTTTTATCTATTGCTCTCACTTCCCACCTCTTTTCCTTCTCGCTATCTCAGCCTTGGAAGGTGACCAGTCTCCGGTGGAGAGGATCAGATGGGCGGTGAGAGCTGTGCTGGGGGGTTGACTGTTCCTGCATCAGTAAGCGTGGGCTGCCAGAAGGACTAAAGGGCTGACGGTGCTGGGCGGCAGAGGCTGGGTCAGGGAAAATGGTCCTGCCAGAGCCCGGTGCCTGGCCCTCTCAGGGGTTCGCCTGCTCCCTGTGCAAAACGGCTGTTCAGCAGCCTGGAGCATCTGAGGGAACACGAGTACCACCACACCCTGTCTCTGATGGCCTTGTCTCTGGACTGGCCAAACATGCAGGGTCCGCACCACCAACCTACTCAGCTCCGTCACCATCCACAATCCCAGCCTCTTCACTTCTTCCAGTCTCTCTGCCGCCCGCACAGTGGGCCGAGCCCACGTCGGCCCGCTCATTTGCTCCCCAGTGCCCCGCAAGCTTCACCCTCAAATCAAACGCAGACAGACACGAGAAGACCATCCACTTCAAGAAGAAGCTGATGCAGTGTGTGTGCTGTATGAAACACTTCAGAGACCGCACCGACCTGCACAGGCATCTGTCCTCCGTGCACTCCAAAGAAAGAGGGCACACCTTGCCCCGCCTGTGCCAAGGCTTTTAGCACCCAGAAAAACCTGGCGACACATGTTAAAGTGTGCTGCCAGATGGGGTCAACGCCAGGAGCTCTGCTGGGAGGCAGCACTGGGATGGAAATGACTCAGGGTGGGGTTATAGATTCCCTGTGGAGGTTTTCTCATGAGAGGAAAGTTGACAATCATGATCTCAGTATCAATGTGGAAAATTGAGGCAGACTTTGTGCACTCATTTATACCCATCAGTTAGCAGCGTATCCTCACGTGTTTACGTTCACCAAGATGCTCTGTGGCGCAATTGCACTAAGAAAGAAAACGTGAACACATCATCTTGGGACACCTTTTTTAAATTGTGTTTCTTTTGTTAAATATTGTTTATATATGTCAGTATTTTTTTAACTAGAATCAAGAGCTTACGTCAACAATGGACAATTGCTATGCAAAGCTGAGCTGTTTAATGAACTGACAGTTTCTTAGTTATCTTTGGGTTTCGGAAAGGTTTCAGTTTGCACTGATTGGACAAAAACAGGTGAATAACCTTTGGTTGCGTTGCCAAGTGGGTCGAGGGGGGGGGTGGGGTCGTTCCGTCTCACCAACCTAAAGCACTTGTCTGGCTCTCTGTCGCCAGTCACCAGTCTGACTAAACTCTTCTCTCCTTTTTAGGCAGAGAGATCTTTATCTGTGTGTCCACCCCTGCACTATGGGCACAAAGACACTCAGGCTTTACTTTGGCTCACAACCCACACAACCACACCACCTGCAGGAACTTTGTACAATTGCAGCATGAGAGCAGAATAAAGACACAAAGTAGATTATGTCCAAGGCCAGTGATAGCTCAAAAATGGCTTGAAAACGAAATGGGATGGTGGTTACTTTTCTTCAAACTGAAACTCAAAGAAAAATCACGAAGTAATTGTATCACCATCCCCACTGGACACGTAGAGTCTCCGTCTTCAGTTATCCCTCTGACATGATTACCTTCAGTCATTGCTGTCAGATAGTGGCAGATGGAGGGGATGTGCCCAATGAGACAAAGCGTGCTAAAACAATAAAGCAGTAGCAGCTCAGATGGGGGTTGGGTGGTGTGTTCATTTCTCTCTCCTCTGTCCTTCTCCTCCGTCCCATATCTGTAAGTCCTCTGTTGGCCAGAGCTGGACAGTAATTGGTCCTTCATGGCTCTGTCCCCTCTTGACCCCTGACCTCTTCATCTGAAGAGGAAGTAGGGTCAGAGGGGCAGATGAGCATCGTGATGCCACTGCTGCGGACAGATAATGGTTTGGTTTGTGAGACAAGTGGTTAAACGCAGGAGAGGAATATTCCTGTCGATGGTGAAGACAGTAACGCAGAGGGTGTTATAGAGCTGCAGGATATTGGAATCAGCATGAGCATTGGCTTCAAAATCATCGCTAATGTAAATTCACACCAATTTCTGCCAAAATGTTCTCAGCAGGCCTGTAACTATAAACCAATATATTTCCTTGATACCAAATGATAACGCTGTTTTTGTGAGTATCCAAATGGAAGACATCCACCTGTGTGTCCTTCTAATAGTCTACAGTCGCTCCAACACATAGGACTATTTCTGTGGCTCAGTAAAGGAAGAAAAGGTGGGGAATATGCTGTTGTGTAAACATACACACCAAGTACTCCCAAATGCCAAATCCTTTCTAATATGACACCCCAGGTAGGGTGTCCTAGCCAGCAGAAACCGAACTGGCAGGCTCAGAGAAGTCAGGAACTCTGCAGAGAGAAGCCAGTCAGAAGAAATGGCAAATACTGTAAAGGGTGTTGTGTGGCTCGTTCTGTAAATGTGTTGTAAATACTGAAAAGTATTTTACTCCAGATTATACTTATTTTCCTTGGGAAAAAAACACATTTTGTACAGAGATAGGACATTTTTAATAATCCTGCTTGTAGTTTTTGATGCTGTAATTAAAACTGTGATGCAAAGTGAAATGAAAACCTCTCCGTAGTTCTTTATCTTTTATCCGTGCCGTGCATATCATTCACACAATCATAAATATTCCTTTCTTTGTCTTTTCATTTTAAACTCACCGCTCAGCAGAATATTTTCTGAATAAGATGTCCGTATCAGTTTGTGCATTTGATGTGTGCTTGCATGTTTTTGTGCTGTTGAGTGTTTAAATCAGGGCAGAAGTCGATTTGCAGATTGAGGTAATTATATTGTATCACTTTAAGCCTAAAACCCTAAACTGTGTGTGTGACCCCACCTTTCTTTACAGTAGTTATGTTGTGTTGTGCGTGAGTACCCGACATCCAGTCCTGATCTCTCATGGTCATACACTGTATGCCTTGACTGCAAAGCTTTTCAACACACAATCTGTTTACTTTGATGCCGTTCACCTGGCCTAACAACCATTTGAGTCTAGACCTGAGATTATTGGGCCTTTCCACACCTCTAAGATTGTGACAAGTTATTAACATTAGTTTTCTGTTCATTTCATTGCTAAAGCATCTCTTTGTGTGTGTGATTTTATTTCCTAGCCCCCAGGGCCTCTTGTCATTGTCTGTGTTTGTCTTTCTGTCTGTGTATTGCTGTCCATAGCAGAGACCCTCTAGAGCAACTAAAGCAGACTGACTGTTGTGTGTCGTGTTTATAGTATCTCTTCGCCTTTATTGCTTTAGTATGGAGGAAGAGCTGTTGCCAGGGCAACTGTAGCTTTGACTGGGATTGGGGTGACCATGGGAATTGATGGTACATTTCTAGTCCTTGCCGCTAATTAAATGTAATAACTGAAAAGTAAACGTCTTGGTTTATTTAAAAGAGCTTAATTGAACACTAATCCTTTTTTGTATTCTTTTTTTCTCTCCCTCTTGCTGTCCTTACAGTGAATGACTTCACCGTGATCCGTAAAAAGTTCAAGTGCCCCTACTGCGGTTTCTCTGCTATGCACCAGTGCATCCTAAAAAGGCACATGCGCTCCCACACCGGCGAGAGGCCCCTACCCCTGTGAAATCTGTGGCAAGAAGTTCACCAGGAGGGAGCACATGAAGCGGCACACACTGGTGAGTGCAGCTATCCGATCACCCGCAGGAGACAGTCAATTACACATACATTGGGTTTTTTATGGGCGTCTCTGGGCACACCTTAAAATATTGCAATATACACACTTTTTGAAATATCCAAATCTTTCAATGGCATTTAAAGGAGCCATAACTGTCAGACAAATGTATGATAAACAAGACAGGCTTAGTGTTTGAGGAAGGGTTGAGAGGTTTGACGACACCGCAGCAAAATCCACGCTCTGAGGGCAGACCACTCGAGGGGGGGGGGGTTGGGCAGAATCACCTTCACCACACTGCTCACCTGTAGAGTCACAACATCTCTAACACTAGCTGGTGTCTATAACTTTGATCAACATAATATATTATGACTTTGTTTATGACATTTTAAACATGCTTTGCATTGACGTACTATACTAGTTTTTTCGACATGTATTACTTTTTCAAATTTTGGACAGACTATCCTATGCCTTTTTTTCAAATGTTCAGCATACTATATGAGACTTTTTTTCACTTCCCATACCGGGAGTTGAACCCGGGCCACCTGGGTGAAAACCAGGAATCCTAACCGCTAGACCTTATGGGACAATATCTCATCTATTTTCATTCATTTTAAAAACATACTATTCAATATATTTTTGTCAACATAATATACTTTGATTCTTTTTTCAAACCGCGACATTCTATACTATGACTTTTTCTGATTTTTGAACATACTATATATAACTGTGACTTTTATTGGCTTTTTTGGCTTTATTTTCGCCATAATACTACTACTATACTAATCCTATAGTTACTTTGTTTCACAATATTTAAGATACACGTACAATGACTTACTTCGACAAACGTTACTTTGCCAATTTTTATTTTGACACATACCGTACCATACCATTCTATAGCCTTTTGTTCATTATTTTTAAACATAAAGCGCCACGTAAACCAAGCCAAATTAACAATAGCAGATTGCAAAGCCAGGGTAACACATTTTGTCAAAATATACTTTTGTTCAGGATATGCAGGGCTGATGATGGAAGATGGTAGGCCTTTGTTTAACCCCTGGCCATAGTGTAAAATATTACATTAAAAAAAACGTTTGTGTTTCCTTTCAACAGGTCCACAGTAAAGACAAGAAGTATGTGTGTAAAGTATGCAGCCGAGTCTCATGTCGGCAGCCAGCGTGGGAATCAAACACGGCTCTCGGCGTCACGGCGTCTGCGCAGACTGCTCTGGCCGAGGCATGGCCGCGCTGCTGGACCACAACGGGGAGGTGGGAGGAGACATCTCCCCCGAGGAGGAGCTGTATCCTGGGGACCGTTTCCACGATGACCAGGCAGAGGTGACGGTGATTGGAGACGGCGAGGAGGAGATGATGGTGGAAGGGGACGGGAGAGATGATGGGAGAAGGGGAGGAGAAGGAGGGAAGTGGAAAGACTCGGGGATGACCTCCGAGGCACACGGCGCACTGGACAATGAGAAGGAGGAGAGCGACTCCTCGGCACAGGAGGGGGAGCAGCAGAACGGGAGCGAGAGGGACTTCGCCTGGATCTCCTAGAATCTGTCAGGCTCCTGTCAGCGGCTCATCAACCAATCTCTGAAGATCTCTTGAGATCTCTCGGGTAGAATCCTCTGCTCTCTTTACCCATTCGTCCAACTGTGGGCAGGCCTTCCTTTGAATGGAAATGCTGTAGGGTAATGCGCGACAATGATCTAAAACCATTACGAGTAACACACAGACACACACTCAAATGCACATACACACAAAACACATACCACACACACACACACACAACACACAACACACGACACACACACACACACACACACCACACACACCACACACACCAACACACACACACACACACACACAACACACCACACACACACACACACACACACACACACACACACACACACACACACACACACACTTTGGCTATTCTCACCTTGACTGCCATAGTAGAAGAAGAGAGGTCGAGAGATGGCTAAGGTGCAAGGCTTTTTCTGCTTACCTCCTTTTACTTCTGATGCAGTGCTTTTGTGTTTCTTTTTCTTGAGGGTTCAGGCCAGAGTCCAGTAGTTGTCTACTCTGTCACAACAGGAATCAACGAGGACGCTGCCAAGGACATGGCCAATGCAACTTTGTATGTTTGCCATCACAATCACCATGGAAACCAAGGATCACTGACAGTGTATGGAAAAAGCCAAGAGGGTGAGGGTGTCTTGGTGCCACCTGGACTGTAATGTTTGTGGGGAAAGTGTCTCTCTACAAGGGAAAGGGAGAGTCTAAATCTATTGCAAAGCTACGTGTGTCGGAGCGGGCAGCTCGACGGCACATTGTTGATGCAGAGTCCTACTGCCACAGACTTGCACTTTAACGACAACTGACTCCTATCAAAGCCCTGAACCCGTGGTTTACATTTTTGATCTGATCTTTACCTAAACAACTCGGTGACCGCACCTACCTTTAAGGATATACTTTATGTCCTCTTGACTGTTATATAGAAATCACTGAATCTTTGTGCAGATTGCTGTTTATATAGCCTATGCCTTTTCGATGGGGTCCTTAATCTTTTCTTTACTTAAGTTAACCACACGGTTTCTGCCAATCCATCCCAACAAATACTGGAGATTTGAGTAATGTACATACGTTTTTGGGGGATTTTAAAAGGGGAGTGTGTGTGAGACGGCAAGAGACGGAGAGAGTGTATGTCAGAGTTTATACACAACGTGGAGATCTGTTTCTGCTTCCCTGGTTGAAGATTCAACAATGATCCACAGGACCTACACTATTAACTCTTTCTGTGTCTCTCACTGTCTCTGGTTCTCTCAGTGGAGGTTGTGATGATGGGACCTGAGAACCATGTCTTTCACACTGAAGGAGGAGCTGCCTTTGTTAAAAAAAAGTTTGGTATCTTTTTCTTTTTTCCTGTCATGTAATATCAGAATATGTAGTCTCCCTCCATGGTTTCAACTTTCTTTTGGTCATATATTTTCTTCGGTTTTGTTTAAAGAAAAGGATCAAATTGTGCTTGAAATGTCTGAGTCTGATAATCTTAGAGAGTGTAATATTAACTGTTTTTGTTTTAACAGCTATTTATTGAAAACCTGTTTGTGGATTTCCAATTATTTTTGAGAAGTCATTCTCTCTCTCTCTCTCTCTCTCTCTCTCTCTCTCTCTCTCTCTCTCTCTCTCGTCTCCTCTCTCTCTCTCTCTCTCTCTCTCTCTCTCTCTCTCTCTCTCTCTCTCTCTCTCTCTCTCTCTCTCTCTCTCTGGGGTGGATCAGGATGGGTGTTTGTATGCAAGAATGCTTGAGTGTCCCAAAAAAAGTCTATATTGATTTATAAGATTATTTCCATGTTTATCTGCGATGTTATGACAATTCAAGTGAGGCAGGTGACATGTCTTATTATTATTATGTTTATCAGAACAATGGTTACTGTTGTTGATGTTACTATTATTAATTATTATTAAGTGCTGGATGCTAAGCTTTATTGTGTGTTCTTGTTTTGATATTTTATATCTTGTACAAGAAAAAAGCTTTTATACTTTGCCTTGTTGTGGACAGCAAGCCATAAGGCTTTTATCAACCTTTTATTGTGCCAGTTTACGCTTTTTCTGTCGTATTTGCTTTTTTTACCAAGGGTAAAAACAACTTCACTGTCAAACTTTTAGATATTGATTGAAACATATATTCAGCACACGCTTTTGCATCACTTAGCCTATGTACACTAATTGATAAATATCAAACCAAAAACAATCTATTACCTTGTATACATGAAGTGCTTTCGTTTTACAGTCTGTATGTGCAGGTGCTTTTTTGGATTTTATTGTTGTGGTTAACAGTTTTGTTGTTGGGTTGTTTTTATTTTTTGAACCTGTCACTATTTGTCACAGTTTGAAAAAGTGCACATGTTATGGTATTATTGTGAATATGAAGAAGGGCTGTGTGAAAGTACCAGCCAGCTTTTGAAGATCGCATCTGAAAACCAAGCTGATCATTTTGTAGTTTCTACTGTCTCACGCCTTGCATGACACACAATCACGTAGAAATGCAGCATGCAGACAATGCTTCCTCTCAGACAGTGTTTCGTTTACATGCTGGGTTTCTATCTGCCATACTGGCGTAAATCTTAACAATAAAAGGGAAAGTGAGCGCTGCAGTAGTAACTCTGGGAAACCTTTTGTCGCCTGTCTGCTACAGGTGACTGCACTTCCCATCAACCCCCACTTAGAAGCTCTGTACAATTTGATTTGTGATGCTTTCTTCACATCTGGCTACCGTCTATATTTTGTTTGTATAATTTATTGTGTTTTTGTTTCGACCCATTTTGTAAAAGTTTTGGGTAGAAAAAAGAAGAAGAACAAAGTCAATGGGGTAGGATTTTAATGAATGTCAATGGTGGGTGTGGAAGGAGCCCATGATCGGCGACAAATCTCTGTCCTGTGGTTCTGTTTAGCCACTGAGAGACATCTGGATGTATGTGTGACTCCCCTGCCCTGCGCTCTTCTCACGACCTGTACTGTATGTCTTCTTCCTCATACTGGGTTGTACTTCAGGAAAAACGTCTGCCATCAACCCCTCAATATGTGCCTCAATGACATTTCACCCGTGTGCTTGTGAGAGTGTGTGTTTCCGAGAGATGTGTATGTGTTTGTGTCGACGGATAGAGATTACTTAGATGCGACCGATCAGATTAGAGGTGCAAAATGTTTCGGAGGAGGACAAATCATGATGGGCGACTAGATTCTCCTTCCCACCATATGTTGATGACCTTTTGTGCCCTGATTCTGTGGTCTTAACTGCATGCCTGTGCTCATTTTGTCATACCAAAGCGACGTCTTCGGCATCTGCACACAACTGTCTCATTCCACATGATGCAAAACTGGAACTGTTTGCTCTATTGCAGATGATTATGGGTATTCTTAGACGTGTACAAATTGCAATCCTCATTTAGCCTGTATAGCTTGATTCACACGTGCAAATCATGAAGCCATAGATATGGGTATATCTATATTCTATATTTCAAATTTGGCGCTTTTTACTTTAGATTTTGTTCTTCTACTAAGAGTGATGTGTGTATACCTTCATATATATGAATTTATATTACGATTATATATTATTTATTTTCTCAAGTTTCAGAGGGTCTTTGATTTGTGAAAGGTCACGCTTGAGGTTTGTTTATTTTCATTGGCAATATTGTTCAATATGATACTGACTTTATATTATCATAAACCTGTGTTTGTAACAAAATGTGTTAAATAATCAAAAAAAAACCTGTCCTGTTTTTACACCTGTTTTGTTTTCGGGCAGATTTATGTGCTCTTGTGCAGATATTTTTTTTCGGTTGACAGTACTGATCACAAAACATTTTTACAGCCAACCATGAGCCTCCTGTTTTGATGTTGGGGCGGGCCCAGCGGCCGTCCAAGCCTCTTTCTAACTTCATGTTTAGTGGAAGAATTAGCTTGACTATTATTTGCAAAAACCAATCAGTCTCAATAAATTTTGAAATTGCTGCTGTAAAGAAGTAACACGTGTGTGCCTTGTCTTCTGTTTGACGGGACAAATGTTGTCTCAACCCTCTGCTGTCCACAAGGGGGAAGACAAGTCCAAGAAAGTAAACACAAAGGAATTCATCCTGACTGTTGATTTTACATGTCCTTCTTTAGAAGATACACAATTATAAACATATCATGCATTCAATATTATTCATCTGATTAAAATAGAATCTGACAGCAGACTTCTTCCATTCAGGTTTATTTTTATTTCTGTCGCATTACATCACATAGATCACATTATTAGCATCATACATGGTCATCCATCTTTTCAAGCACTAGTCATAGGCTTGACATTCACACAAATACTCCTTGAGTGCACCACTCCTCAGCAAGAGCTTCCTCCATGTGCGTGGGACTGCTGATGAAGAAGAGAGGCCGAGCCCACACACAGGAGAAACGTTGCCCTCCAGTAAGACCCGAGGCTGATGTCACGTTTCCTTTTTAAAAAAATGCTTTTAGCTTTGTGTGTCTTTGTCAGCCGGCAACGAGTATTTTGATATTTTGAGGAGAACAAAGTACATCAGCCTCGGGTGATCAGTTACTGGAAGGGGAAATCTAACATATAAAACACTTCAGTGTTGTATCTCCGAACAAAAAACAAAACATAGAGCGATGATAGACATGCAAAAAAACCTCTAATTTAACCAGACAATCAATCAATGAGAAAACTAAAACAAGCAGGAGTCAGTTTTCACACCAGCCAGTATAAGGCTCAGTAAAAACACAAGAGAGAAAAAAAGGTCATCAAATGTCTGACAAATAAAGGAGTAAAATGCCTGGACGAATAATAAAAACGCAGAGGAAGCAGAGAATTGGGAGGAGCTGCCATTGCAATGCATTACATTACATTTGATTTGGAAGGAGATCTATTGGCTTTGCTGCTGCTGGTTTTCACACAGATACACACATTGACATTCAAGAAAGCAGCACATCCATTTCAACATGTGGAAGTAAAAATAAAGGCTTTTTTGATGCACATTTGAAGGGTTTAATTTAGCTTAATAAACTGGGTATAGGCTTGGGTGGGACCACTGTAAAGCTTGATAGAACAACAGGTAATGCAAAAGGACGAGGTGAGAAGAATCACTGTAGTGAGGAGGAAGGATACGCCTGTTAGGAAACAAGGGGAAGACTCTACAAGTGTGCTGTCAGTTGGAATGTGCAGGACAGGATAGATTTACCCACAAAATGAAAATGTTCATTGTGACCAAAGGTCGAATGTTATCCTGCCTAACAACAACTAAACGTCACAACTACAAACAACATTCACAATGATGATAAACACGTTAATAAATGACCATTTGGCAGGGAGAAAGACATTTGACAAATAGCAACAGTGTAAGCAAGTAGCCCAGACGTCACGCAACTGAAGTTAGTTCTTGTTCCCCTATAAAGCATCTCATTGCACAAAGTAAAATTGTAAAGCAATACTGCATGGTTGCGTTATATGATATGATTTAGCAGTGTGGCGACAGCTGTGGGTGTTAAAAGAAGGTTTACTACAGGCAGTACAAACTAGCGAGCAATTATAACCACAAAAAGTGAGTTTTACATTCAACAGGTTTTTTTTCTCCCCTTTGCCTCAAAGCTACAATATACATTGAATCTTTTATGTATTATGTTCACTATAGCTTCTCAATCAAATATTCTGAGCAATTATAATGTAAAAAAGTGTACTTTTCATAAAACAAGATAACAAGGAAACAACAATATATGGAAAAGCCTCACACTTCTCTTTATGTTGCATATTATGTACAAGAAAGCCCTGAAACTGCAAATCCATCCATATCGTCACTGCGTGTCCCGTGTCTGCTCTCCATCAACTTTCCCTGCACAGTCAACTTCAGTTTCTACTCTCATTTCACAGGTCAAACATTCCTCATCAATTTCCACAAGAGCAACTTTGTACCCGCAGTTTTCTTCTGGCCCTGCTGACACAAGCCAAGCTCCAACTGTCTTGTTCATCACAGGCCAGTTTTAGTGCAAAGAAAAACTACAATTACCACCTCACAATGTCATGCCTCCACCAACTAGTCAAGTTGCAGTTTACATCCATGTCCGTCCAGACTCATATAGTATATGTGGACTTTGAGGGGGTTTAACAAAAATTGTTGTGTGGATTTTGTCAGAATTAAAGTATGGGTTATGGCCAAACACCTGTCTTGTCACAGTGATCTTTGACCACCAAAATCTACTCACTTCATCCTAGAGTCTAAATGGACGTTTGTGCTAAATGAAAAGAAGTTACCTCAAGGTGATGATGGTCCACCAGAAATATGAAGACTGGTGAAGGTGAAATAGTGAGCCTGTTAACATATCAAAACATCGGCCTGTAATCCTGCTGGTGAAATCTAAAAGTGCTTTAGATGGAGAGACACCTGATTGAATGTGACACTCCATCAACAAACAGCAGTAATAATGGCAGCAACTACCTCAGCTCAGGGAATCGTAAATAAGAAAGGAAGCATAAATGTTATGGATACAAATTGTGAGTATTGTGAAACAAAACTCCAGGCAATGAAGCAGTGTAAAAGCATCTGTTATCTAGACATCAATGTGTAGCTGCTGACTAAGATCGGTGTTTTCCAATCAGGAGACAAGGCAGGTGCTGCTTTCAGCCCTTGGCACTCCTCCAAGGAAAGGCAGAGTGACTAACTACCTAAGTACCACCCTGTACTTCCCAGTATCACACTTCACAAACAGCCAGTGTGTTCAGTACAATAAATCTGACACAGAGAGCAAGACAATAACTGTGACTTAATGTAAAGTTGACTTGCTAGTAATGGGGGACCCTAGAGGTACAAAACACCCTTTCCCTGACACCCCATTTATTCCATCGGGCAGTGACGACATCCCTCCTGCCCCCTTGAAAATAAAAAAGGAAAATTCTTTCACTTCAAAATGTGTGTATATAAAATGTCCATGTATAAAAACATGTTTTTGCGCAGCGCAACATAGTGCAATTTCATCAGGTAAGTATAGCTTTTTCCATGTTCTTTTCATTGGCACTTTGTGAAGTTTCTGACCAGAAGAGGAGGAGGATTATCTGGGATGCCACTGGAGATCAAGATTTACAGGCAGGCATTGTTTGTATCCAAACAAAATGGTGGGTTATTATTGGAACTGATGAGATATCATTAACTACTATGATCGTTTTCAAGTGTGCTTAATTTATTTGACTTGAAGCCACTAATTAACAGGCATCTGCTTTTGAGCTTTTATGAGAAGTGATAACTGTTCGCCTTTAATGTGGCATCAGCACACAGCTGAGTGACCTTGTGGCGACAGGGGGAAAGCACAGTTGTTTCTATGGCGACAGAGGTCTGAAGTCGTCATGCACCTCAGTCCAAGCTTGTATAGGAGAGGACACTGTGTTTGTCCTACGATGCTTTGGTGATCACGTCAGTGTCAGGAGAGCTTAGAGAGTAGAGGACACAATGCAGACTCTACATTCAAACAGCACAACGTCAATCTTCAAAAATATACATTTACGGTCGTGATTCTGAGAGCAGGTCAGAGCATTTGCTGGTAAGGGGTTTCCCTTTATCCAAGTAGAGGGGCTAAGTGTCTAAAGATAGAAAGTGTCTCATGTTGTACAGATTGTGAAGCCCTTGGAGACAGATGTGTGGTTTGTTTGGTTTAAATAAATACATTGACTTGCCTGTTTTTTGGGAAGTAGGTTATCATCTTGACAAGATCAGTATTGTCTTTAATCAAAATCATTTAAATAAAAAATAAAGTAATTAACGATGGAAAGAATAAAAAAGTTGATCTCTCCTCAGGGTATGCTATAATTATTTCAAAAGTCCTTAAGTATGACTCCTGGTTTGTAGTTAGGTCTTTTACTTTCATTAGTATTAGCACCAGTAGGAGATCAATCCTAAATGTCCTATCCATGCCATATAATGACAATTACAAAGAAGAATTACCTGCTTGGAAGGTTTCATTGTTTTGTTTTTTCATTAGAAACACAATATAGGTTTATAAATTAAAGGGTGCTATTTTCAAAAGATTAATCAATATTGCTCTATTCTTTATTTTTTAAATACAGGTGAAAGGGATATATCAAAAAATTACAATTTCTTACCATACAAATTATTTACCACATGATATATAATCTTAAATTTGGAAGGCTTTTAAATAGAGAGCGCTTGTCATCCAGTAATTTGTTATTACAGATCTATTCTAGAAACATCTTTACTTTCACTCTAGTGAAACATTTGTTTTACTCCACTATCAATCAGTCGACCACCTACACCCTGGTTTGATTCTCACTTTTCATTCCCAAATGTTAGACCAGAACCAAAACTCATTCTAAACGGTTGAAAACATTTACTTAAAAAAGTAGGAAATAGTCTTGTTTCCTATGAAGTTTGGCATCTAGAAATGTTGCAATGCTGGTTAGTGATCGTTATTCTGAAGACTAAAGAACTAAAAACATCTCCTTCTTAAAATGTTTAGAGATTATTTCAAATGACTGATTTATCAGCGGGTTGTTGGGTTCAAATCTCTACATACAAAAGTTACATTAGTCAGTCAAGTTACGTTAGTTACGTTTCAAAGGGCAGTTATCATTCATTGTGGTAAACGATCTCTTTAGAATAACTGGTTGTCAAAGGTTAAAAAACGGAGCCTTTCTGCCTCACCTTAATAACAACCACAAAGCAAGACAATATTAAATGCTATAATTCTGCCGATTGCACAGTGCTAGTTGCTTCAGCTAAACATTGCTGAAAAATAAACTCTATACAAGACATCCACTTTCAGGCAGACACTGACATTTCAGTGATCCTCTATAATACGTCTTATTTCTTCAAGGTGCAAAATAAGAATAACTATCTAATATATTGTGTTCATCTCCAACAAATAGTTTGTTAGGCCAAGGGGAATCTTTTTGTACCACAAACATGTGCATTGTTGCAAAATCACATGAAGTAAAGCTGGCTGTACTGAAGTTGCTTAAGGAAGAGGAA